AGGTGGGTTCAAAAGTGAACAAAGGGACCAAGAGTAGACCCTGACATTAGTGAGCAAAGGCTCCTGGGAGAAGGAAAGACCTCCTGGAGAGGGAAAGACCTCAAGTGCATTAGAGAAACACAGCTCAGCAAGAGGCAGCCTCGGCTCAGCTGTGGCTTATCCAGGAGAGCACACTGCTGGCCATGGGTAGGCTGGAGAGGTCATTTAGGTCCGTTCTTTGTCTGCCTTGGGTAGCACTGACACAACCTGGCCCCTACCCACCTCTCTACTGTATCTCTATCTGCTCCTCAACTCCTATAATTCATGCTCTAATACCACCCGACTGCCATCCAGGCCTTCCTGTCTCCATCTGCCTGACACCATCTCAGACATCTGCACCTGCAGCTGCTCCCTTTTCCACGTCCTTCAGCAGTTGGCCCAGTGATTTTCTCCAGGAAGCCTTCTCTGCCCTCTTTGTTGGTGCTGTCACATCTTCCTCATTATGTCCTCAGCAAGACAGTCAATTTCACCATCCTCTGCGTCCCTGGAAGTCCAGACCCTTGCTTTCTCATGCTTGAATCCTCAAAAGTCAGCATGCTGACTGGCAGAGAGAAGGCCATCAGCAGGTGGCTGAACTGAATGGGATGCTCTGCATCTGCGTATTTACCGTCTTGGGCATGATGGAGGTTTCACGGTACTCCCCGGACAGACTTGAGAGTCAGAATCCCCAAGTACAGAGAATTTGGAATAAGCTATGAAAATAGCCAAAGAAAAAGACATAAGTTTGGAGGCAAAGAAAAGAATTCAACAAAATGGAAGTCTGAGAAATATCAGGATGGGAACTTTAAAAAGGTCATGTTACATGACTCCATGAAGTATTTTTATTGTATCATTCCAGCAGATCATGAGATGGGGGTGGTGCTATACGGACGTTCTGGGGAGGTGAGGGAGTGTCAGTTATTCACCTTGGTATCTCACTTAAGGCATGTGGGAGGCACTTGCCAAAGAGACACACTCATTTAATAAATTCTACATATGATTCAATATAAGGCTATAAAATATATACAAGTTCTGACAGTTACATTTTGGAACTCATCCTAGACAAAGTACTATATAACTCACTGCTGAATATCACCATGGTCACCTTCCCTCTTGGGAAGCTATGCACCAATACCAGCACCTCGTCCACCCTTCAAAGCAGTTTTGGAACTTTTTCTGGAATGGCCATCAAAGCTGTCATCCTATTATCCTGGATGTCCTGAATGTCATCAAAACATCTTCCTTTCAACATTTTCTTTACCTTCAGGTGAGTGAGGGGGTGTGTTCCAACACAGTTGTTTGTTTACTGGCTAAACTCCCCTCACAGACAGTGCCATGTGAGCTGGTGCATTGTCATGATGTAAGTAAGAGCCCTGAGTCATTGGGCAAGATTTTCACTGAAGATTTTCCTGTTTCTCTATGATGGTTACTTGCTCTGCTATGCTTCTCACAGTCAGTCACCAATCTCAATACACAGTTCAAAAATTTTTGCAAAGTTTTGTCAGTTCTGCTCATTACTTGCTGCCCTGACCTCCCTTCATCAGAGACACTTTTCCTCCTCTCAGAAAACTGATTCAACCCTTTACACACTGCCATTTTCTTCATCCAATTATCCTCAAAAACTCGGACCAACACGTCCCTGATTTCACTTCCACTCCTGCCAACTTTAACAGAAACTTTCGAATGTTTGTTTGTTGCTCTGATTCAAGCTCCCTGATTTTCATGCTGGCACACAAAAACACCCAATGATAAATACTGCTAGGGTTCAACAGGAACACAATTGTGAGACGCTGATAGACCAAGGTTATGAAACCTTACTGAGTTGTTTATACAGTGCTGCCAAAGTATGCACACAGTGGCAGCTTCAAGAACTTAATTGTAAACCACAACACACATATATGTGTGGGTATATGTGTATATATAATGTGTTGTGTTCACATAGACCTAATTTAATGCTGTGAACTTTATAATACAGACTCTATTCTTCCCAAGTAATGCTGTTAGGATAGCTGTTCAAATCAGAGACCAGAAGTAGTTAACCATCATTGTCTTTACGGGCAGTGCAAGAAATGTGGCCCGTTTCATGAGCATAAAGACATTCTGTTCAGAAGCGGGAAATCCTGGGAAAACAGGGTTGGCCTAATTCTTGCTGAAGACATAGCAGGGCTCCTTCAAGGACAATAGTGCGGAGGGATGAAGGACGGTGGAGGAGGGAGTTAGGACCACCCATTATACTTCCAGAAACCCAGCTGCAGCCTCATCCGTCTGCTGACTGGCCATCTCCTGGCCTTGCGGGCATCAATTTCCTCAAACTAAAAAATACTGCAGGTGCATGAAATGACCACGTACAGCCCTTCCACCCGCGGTGCCAAACAACTCCAGAGGCCGGATCCAGGTGGTTCCAGGGAGTTGACCCCGC